AGAAGAGAAGAGAAGAGAAGAGAAGAGAAGAGAAGAGAAGAGAAGAGAAGAGAAGAGAAGAGAAGAGAAGAGAAGAGAAGAGAAGAGAAGAGTCCTTACCTGAAAAAACACTCGGGATCTTGGTGAGAAAACTTTTCACTGTTCGTATGGGGATGCCATTTTTCTCATCCTGCATGCGTGCTATTACTTCCTCCATCTGGACAACACAGAGACAGTGGAAGAAGAAGATGAGGGAGGAGGTTAGTAAGTGGAGGCAGTGTGTGAGTAAAAAGCGGTAAACAGATATAAACAGGTTCCTGTGTGGTGCAGCCATGTCTTTAGGGGGGGGACACACAGAGTGAGGCGACCAAGTTGGTGACTAACAACCCCGGTTGTCAGATTTGTGCCTCTCCCTTTGACAAATCTCCCTGATTTGTGTCATTTGTCACATCAAACCGCCAGTAAGCTGCACTTATTGAATTCTGCAACAGCTAGTAATGAAGTTTCTGGTTATTATCCATCACAGTATATGTGTGTCCTGACAAAAAAAAGGTCACACATTTGCACTATCCAAAAATGTGTAAAGACATTTCAGACACAAATGTTCCATGTGCTTTCACATTTGAACCAAAAGCTGCAGTTAAAAAAAAAAATGGCATGAGCAAGCCAACAGTCACACACATGCGAACACACCAACATTTGCACAAACGGCTGAGACCGAAATGTACTGGGAGTTGTCTCAAGGGCCTGGCAGGGCAACACAAGGCAACCATGTTTCCAAGAACGCACAGAAGGGAGCAAAGCTGAGAGCAGAGCATTGCCCTGATACGTCAGGCGGCTCAGATGCCAAGCTATCTCCCCCCCAACTCCTCCCACAGAGTAAAAATATACACACGAAAAAAACATCCACCCGAGAGTTCAACATCCTGCTGATATATTCCACACAAAACAGGCACACGTTGAAAAAATAATAACTCAAATGTGTTTATATACCTTTAGTTCTCTGTGCTAAGAGGCATAAGTGTTTTTATGCAGTGATTCTGTCAAGGCTTGTCCAGTTAATGACGCCATTATTTCTGAAAAGTTTAAACATTTAGGACTTTGCTGCCTGCCAGTAGTAACACTAATACTGAGGCAGACAGTAATGCATTGTGTTTCCCTAGCTGGGAGCTTGACCTTGCTTTTTTTTTTCTTCTTTTTAATCAATCAAATATTTTTTTAATAAACTTCTTAAATCAGTTGTAAACCTCGCAGTGAGAAGAAGCCGTAACAGGTGAAAATGGGTTATTTGACTAAGCCCTAAGTAAAGTGATTATTCTTGTATTCCCCCCAAGTAGTAGCATCATCCATCACTAAGCATCCAGGGCACGTGGTGTAAGACAAAGTTGCCCTTTTCATTGGATTTAAATAGAACATTTTACTGGCTATCTTTAGCTGGAAATTGATGTTATTTTTTCCCCAGCGATGTGCCCCGCAGACAAAATGAGGTCAAAACAACAGGGGATCCAAGAGAGCTAGCTCGGTGTTTTGTTGTGCAGAGGTGTTTAAAAGTTGTGCTCTTGTTTCAGAAGCTTTTCCTTTTTATCAGATTGTAGCAAATTGCAATGTTGTGAAGGTGACTTGTCCCGGATCATCATCCCCCCCCACCACCCTCTAAGTTTTGTTTCTTCTCCTTCTTTCATATGACAAACAACTTATCATCTCATCCGGGAAAGGGGATTTGAATGCGGCCACTTCCATTCGACACAATGGAGGTTTTGTGTGGGTGAAAATGAATTCCGTGTCCACGCTGGTGAGAAAAGCGTAGTTCTTATTATGAACAAGCCGGGTTTGATATGTAAATGTGCAGCCACTCGGGTTTGGCGGTTCATGAGCCAGGACTGTAGCATGATGTTATAATGAAAGCTCGAAGCTAGTCAAACACCCTGAAGCTAAAAAATCATCCCGGTTGGTGAATGGAGCCTAATTGACAATGATGGAGCACAGGCAAATACTGTAACTAAAGAGCTGCTGGAGGAGGCCAGCGAGACCAAGAGAGGGAGAAATGAAAAGAGGAAAAAAAAAAAAAACCCGCTGAATTGATGTCAAAAATACGCATTTTCAGATTATTTCAGTCTGTTCTGTTAATCTCTTTCTCCCGCAGATGTGTTGCATGAGTCAGGCCCGTAGATCTGCCTCTACAAGTGCTTCCTTGGTAATTCACCCGCCTGAATCATCACCTTTAGCGCAATAAAAATTAGTTATAAAACAGCTTAAACTTCTCGCACAAATACGACGAACTGAGTTATAAAATCTTTCTTAACTGTTGTTTATTATTATCCTACACATAATCAATGCCTGTATTGTTCCAGAGAAGCCCCCAATGTCACACCAATGACACACCAATGTTTTCACCAGCAGGAGTCTAAATGGACTTCAATCCACTGCAGCAGCAACAAGGTTTTATTCTAAATTATGCGATCATAAACTTTCACTGCTTTAATTCCTTTTTTTTTATAACTGCTACTTATTCCGGGGAATGTAAGAGGCCACTGGCTGAATTAATGGAGACAAGCCAAGTTGAAGGAAAAGGTTGGAGGTGCAGATTTTATTGATCACAACATACTAGAAACTGTTGAGCCTCACGAAATGTTGCATCTAGCAGGTTAAGTATCAGTGAGAGGGCTTATACTTGGGTTAGACGAGAAGGTGGCATCCTGATAATAAAAAAATATATGAGCTACATTTCAGTCATGCTAACATCGAGTATCATTATATAATTCAGGCTGCAGCATCTGTAGAAAATTATCAGCGTTATCGTTCTCATGTGCTGCGTGCATCGTTCTGTTTGTTGTATTTATACACAGCCCTCTAAATGAATCCCAGTTGCCTCCAGCTCACGCCGTTTGAACGAGCGCGCCTCACAACACCTCCTTCTCTATATATCTTTCTTTGTCTCTTTCTCTGCGAGTTAGCTGCTACTGCGAGACAGAGCAAACAGGGACAACAGCAACAGTGATCAATACTTCACACACTCTCTCCTATCTCTCTGCAAACCCTCACCGCCTACACATGGTAAAATGCCACCAGCGTGAATATTCAGGATCTAAGGCTCTTGAAGTCGGGATGCTCTCTGGCTTCATGTTGCGAGGAAGAGAGGGAAAGTCGTTTCCCACAAGAGAGAAAAAGAGAGAGAGAGAGCAGGAGTCTCTCTCTCTCTCTCTCTCTGCCTTCCTCTGTCCCCCACCCATCCACCCACCCAGAGCTGTCTGACTGCGTCTCTGCAGCCTCTTAACAGATAAGAGTGAGTGTTTTGGCTGCACAGTGTGAATCATTGAATAATGATGGCACAGGACTCAGTACATATGAAGTGACTAACAAAAGCTCCGGATATAAGCACATACTGAGCTTCAGCACACGGCTTCAAACACTTCAAAGACTATCAGCGAGGGCACTCAGGGTGCAATCAGAATGTTCAGAAGCGCCATTTGGAGCAAAAAAAAAAAGACATTTCGAACTGGGTTTGTAAATCAATGCTGCCCTCTTAGATTTCTTTTTAGCCACTGTTAAGTGCACCAAGTCCACTTATTTGATGGGCCATTTCTGAGAAAAGAGAGTCGATGAAAGGATCAGTTATTAGTAAGGTTCTATTGTGGGCACATCAACAAGGTGGGAGGTTTTTAGGAGTGAGTTTGATCAGATTTATTGTATGTATTAGGGTAGTTTATTTGAAGGGTAGCTTTATTTGTTACCACAACGAGAAGGAAAAGATGCTGTTTCACATGATGATGATGCTGCTGCAAGATGGAGATCATGAACAACTGTGATTTCATCTATTTAGGTGTGTCGTGCAAACAGGTTATTTAGGCGCCTGTGTCTTTCAAAAAAATTAACATAACATGGCCTAGATTTTTTTTTTTAACTGTTTTTGACGCTTCAGTTAGTTACAGTCCAAGGACCACACTGTGCATAGGGGTGGGATGCTGACAGGTGAATGGACTGCCGGAAGGAAACACGGCTCAAAATTGCTGTAAACTACTATGACCTTGACATTTGAAGTGAGCATGCGAGCCGTAGTGCCTTCATTTGTTGACTGTGCTGCTGCGAACCTACGGGTTTCTATGAAATGTTTTCAGTCCTTAGCAAATGATTGTTATTCGTCTCCAGCGTTGACCTAGATTTAAGTGATGGAAAGAAAGCCCCAGCACTCGATGAACTCAAACTTAACTTTCAAACAGCCTTAATTAGAACATCATTACCCACATAAGCTTTAAATCCCTTCGACAGACTTGTGTTTATTAGAGAGCGAGCAACCCACCAAGATTTATTTTTAATAAAGAAGACGATGCCTGTTCATAAAATGTAACTTTGAAGCACACCTGTGCTGCTGATAAATTATAAAGGGGAATCTTTTTTTCCAGAGATCTTCATGGTCTTTCACAGTGCGCTTTATCAAACGCGGCTTGTCTTGTCATTCAATTGGAAACTCATCTAGAGTTCATTCCCGTCTCTGCCTGTCTGTGCAGATGTAAAAACCCTCGCTAACTGTGCTGCTGAGGAAATTAAAAGCCCTCCTATTCTCCTTCTTCTTCTTCTCGTCCCCCGCTCTCACTTCTGCCCCCCCCTCTCTCGGTCTCGCTGCCGGCGCTGTGATGAGTGAATGTTACTGCATCAGACGTATGGGGAGAACGGTATTACCTTGACAGTGTTATCTGAGGGCAAGCGTGTCTACATGGAGAGAACAGACATCCCAACTCTCTGCATCGCACAAATACGCTCTCGCACAACATAGATGATCACACACACACACACACACACAGACATTCCCATCACTTCCTGACACGCAGAGCACACAGCTATTATCAGTCACATTGCGAGAGCATATGCGCTCACAGAATTCAGAGCTACACACTCACATATATTATGAAGGCTCCTGAGCCCAGAAGGTGGGGATTATTATATTTTAAAAAGCGCAACATCAAAATAGGTGAGCAACCCAGTTAAAGTCTGGCTGCCTAAGGCGGTGTGAGAGCAGCCTGAATAGAACCTGTGGCTATATAGCATGACAGCTCTACTAGATAAAACAGTCTTTGCAGTTGGTTGATCTCATTTCCTTCTGAACTGCAGTCCTTGGCTTCATGAATGAGGCAGAATCTGTGGTGGAGGCTCAGAGATAATATTTCTCCCTTTTTTTAGCCTCAAAAAAACCAGCAGTGGTTTCCAAAAAAAAAAAAAAAA